GCTATCCAGTCAGTTCGCTGCTACTCCCATGGTTCTCATGAGACAGATGAGGAGTTTGATGCTCGCTGGGTGACATACTTCAACAAGCCAAATATCGATGCCTGGGAATTGCATAAAGGGATGAACACGCTTGTTGGCTATGATCTGGTTCCAGAACCCAAAGTCATCGATGCTGCTCTGCCGGCATGCAGTCGGTTAAATGATTTTGCTAGCGCTGTTCGCATCCTAGAGGTTGTTAAGGACAAAGCAGGACCTCATAAGGAAATCTACCCCTATGTCATCCAGGAACTTAAACCAACTTTAAATGAATTGGGGATCTCCACTCCAGAGGAACTGGGCCTTGACAAAGTGTAAACTCTACCAGATGGGCTTCCCAAGGATTTACTGGTATTGCTACTTGATTGTAAACAGTCACCTGGAAATAATGATGATAAAATATTACCTTATTTGAACAAGTTTTCCCACATTGAGTACCAAACTATGTAATGGTAATTTGGGCTTTAATAAAAGGGAGAAGAGTTTGGAAAAAAAAAAAAAAAAAATGAAGAATGTGCCATGCTCCTGGATAGGAAGACTTAACATTTGTGAAAATGCCAATACTGCCCAAAACAATCTACACATATAATGCAATTCCCAATCCAGATACCAATGACGTTCTTCAAAGAGATGGAAAAAAAACTACAAATTTTTTATGGAAAGGAAGGCGACCCAGAATAAGCAAAGCACTGCTTAAGAAGAATAAATAAATAAAGTTGGAAGTGTCTCATTCCCTGATTACAAAATTTACTACACAGCTAGAGTGGTCAAATCAGCTTGGTACTGGTATAATGAAAGATATGTACATCAATGGAACAGAATCAAGAATCCAGAAATTAACCCATCCACATACAGCCAAATGATTTTCAACAAAGGGCCTGAGTATATTGCATGGGTAGGAGATAGTCTCTTCAACAGGTGGTGCTGGCAAAACTGGAAAAAGACATGAAAAAGATTGAAACAAAACCTGTACCTCATACTTTAACAAAAACCATCTCATCATGATTTAAAGACCTAAATGTATATCCCAGAATTATAAAGCCCATCAATGAAAAAATAGGGACAAGTATGAAAGCTCTAACACAGACTACCAAACATTTTGAAAATGACACAATCAAAAGTAGACAAAACAGATGATTGGGACATACTAAAAATTAAAAACTTATATACATCAAAAGACTTCACCAAAAGAGTAAAAATGGAGCTCACAGAATGGGAAAACAAAAACAAAAACAAAAAAATTTTACATCAGACAAGGTACTAATTTCTAAAATATATAGGAAAAAACAACACCTCTGCAAGAAAAAGACAAATTACCCAATGAGAAATTGGCACAGGACATGAACAGACTCTTCAACAAGGAAGAGATTCGGGTAGCCAACAAACATATGAAGAAACGTTCACGATCACTAGCCATTGTTGTTGTTG